GCCAAGTGATCGTGTGGCTCCTCAGTACAGCCAGCCTTACAGCCCCTCAAACTCTAACACAGCAGCTTGAAGTCCTGGGGACAGCAGGACTGGGCTAAGCACCTGTAACTCCGGGGGTCTGAAGATGCCCTCAGATGTTGTGCCAGTCTGGGATTCTGCACCCCACCCTGTAACAGCGGGGCCCAGGACTCAAGGGAGGCTACTTGGGATGTGCGTGTTGGATATCCACAACAAAGATAGACAAAGCTACTGGGGTATGGGACAATTGAGGTTTTCAGAAATGGACAGGAAGGATAGAGGCAGGGAAAAAAAGACTAGGTGGCAAGCTACGTCGAGGGCTAAAAAACGCTGGAAAAGCTTGGAGTTTTAGGAAAACCCTGTGTTGGGGCCTAAGGCAGCCCCTCCAGTATCCCAAATGTGGATTTAACGCCACCTCTCTCGGCTCACCCAGTGTTAGCTGCCTCCACCTCATGAGCTCCAAGGGTCAGACGCTGGAGGGGAAGGCTGCCCCAGCCAGCACAACCTCAGACACTCCCTATCATGCAGCAGCCTCATCAGAGGACCGTGTTCACTTCACTTCTGCACAGTCACACCCCCAACTCCATTTAACACAATCCTGTGCAGGAATCCTTCGACAGAGCTTAGGTCTGGGTCCTGAAAAAAGCCCAGACCACACCACTCCTTCAAAGAGCCACGGCTGGCTCTCGCCTTGACCTGTGGAACACCCCCTACTACTCCCTGACCTCTGGCTCCAGGGAAATAGGGGAAGAAGGGAGAATACTTCACACTCCATTGCTCACAGGTGACGAGGGACAAAGATTAACCTCTTGAGGGTTACTCTGTCCATTGGGAAAAAAGAGTCCTGCCTCCCCAAATCTATCATTCCCAAGGCACTCAGCCCCAAGCTTCCTGCCTGACCTTTCATTATTCATAGGGCCCAGGGCATATAACATGTGGGCTCAGAAGGAAGTTTGTTCCTGCTTAGGGACCCTTAAAATTGGAGTCACAGAGGGAGGAGGAAATCACTTGCTTTTGCCAAGCAGGCTCTGGCCCAGGAGTGCACTGACTCTTCCCCATGGGCGGGTCCCACAAAGGGACCCAGGCCAGAGCTGCAGTGACCGAAGCGAAAGAGCACTGGCCTGGGAGTCCACTTAGTTCTGCATCAACATGCTGTGTGCTCTTGACCATGACCCTTCCCTTCGTTTGACAATACCTGCCAAGTCGGCAGGCTTCCCCACAGTCCCCTGAGCTATGACTTCCAGCCCAGGTACCTGGCCCAGGTGCAAAAGCTCCTATCCCAGGGTGGGGCAGGGGCTGGTACTCACCCTGGCCTGTCTGACACCGGCGGCCACTCTCAAAGGAAAAGAGGTTGGAATCGTAGCCATAGCGCCGCAGGCAAAGGTAAGGCCAGCGGACAGCCTCACGCCGATGCAGGTGAAGCACCAGCTCGCTCTGCGTCAGCTCCATCACCCCAGAGCCCAGCTCCACCCCCTCGTCATCCACATTTGTCACCTGGGGGGTCAGGGGACAGAGGATCAAGGAGTGAGTCTGACAAGTGTATATATGGGTCCACTGGGAGGCGGGCTGATGATGGAGGACTAGAGCTGGGGGACTGAGGGACTCACTTGACTCACCAGACTACAGAACACCACGTGATTACCCAGTGCCACTGAACCAAGCAGCTCTCTAGGCCTCAGTCTTGTCATTTGGACAGTGAGGAGAGGGACAGATGGTTAGCTGACCTCCAAGGTCAGATGGTTAGATGACCAAGGTTAGATGACCTCAGATAGTCCATGGCTTAGTATCCAAGGATCAAATGTTAATGGGAGAAGGCGTTCAAGGTTAAGTTCAAAATCTTAAGACCCTGGGAGAGTCAAGCCCAACGCAGAACAAATACAGAGGGTGCCAAAAAAGTGTATACACATTTTAAGAAAGGAAAAAACTATTAAAATTCTAATACTCAACATATACTGATAACAAAAGATGACTACAAGTCACGTTTGACTTCTGCAATTACAAGAGGTGCTCAAAGTGGTTACCATCAGTGTCCAGACACTTCCGATTACGGGGAACTACTGCTTGAGCAACGTTGACCAAAGCGTCCACTTGTATACATTGTTTCGGCACCCAGGGTACATAGGGCCTCCACCACTTTCCCAGCTGTAGGACCTTGCTGAGGGCTCCCTCTTGTGGTGAGCAGGAGAATCGTGTGCCTCAACAGGCAGGGAGTCAGGAGGGGGCTCCCCCTACAGGGAGGTAGGAGGGGCCAGGGTGCACAGGTCCATTGGTCCTGGCCTTTGCTTCCCAAAGCAAACATCAAACACCAATATAGTGCTTACCATGGGTTAAGCACTGTTTTAAATACTTTATATATTAACTCACAAATACAGACTTATTGTTTTCTCCAAAAAAGTTACATGGAAAGTTACTAAGATATACTGACAGGAGTGAACATTCTAAAAATCACGATTTTTGCTACTGTATTACAGTACTTCTTCACTCTTGGTAGTGCCAAGAGCCACATAAACGACAGTGGCCTGGGCTCTTTTTCCTCAGGCCACCTCAGAGGCTCTAACCTCGAGAAGTTTTAATGAGCCCACAGCCTCGGCCTATCATTTCACCTTCTCTAGGGAGGCTGAGGCAACTCCACAGCTTGGGCCTGAGCCCAGGAGGCCATGCTGGGGACTCAGGAGAGGACGGGGCTGTGGGTACCTTGAACTTAGTGGGGTGGTTGTCTGGGATGCTGTCTCTGTTCAGGCAGCTGCAGCAGCTCCCCATGGTGTCAGAGCAGCCAGCCCACCCTAGGGAAAAACATAAGGGATAAGAAAGTCATCAAGATTAGCTCCAAAAAGCCCTGCTCTGGTGAACTCTGGCAGAGCCACCCTGTCGTGATCACCTACTCTGCCTAAAGGACTGTATGACACAGTCCCTCCCTCAAGGAATTCCCACTCTCAGCCCAAGGCCAGACACACATTGGATAAACATTAATTCAAGTTAGGCTGTGTTAAGGATTAATGCTGACGGGGATGGAAAGAGCTTCTCAGAAGTAACATTTGACCTGGACCTGGAGAAGTACACAAGATTTTGGCCTATGTAATGATAGGGAAGGGAGGCCTGAGCAGCGGGAAAAGCATGGATAAAAATAAAAGTAGGGACCCAGGAGAAGTGATTTGCATCAGGAAGCTGGCTGCCGACCTGGGACCTCATCCAGATTCAGCAAAAAAACTAACGGGAATCCCAGACACTGGCCTGTACTTTGCTCCTTTTCCACCTCACTCTTCCCACATCGTCCAAATCCACTCTTTTCCTTCCTCACCACAATCCTGACATCCACCTCAACTTTATCTTTTTGATGTTCTCTCCAAATGAGGTGCGATACTATGGTCAAAAGATACACTGAGGAGATTGAACATTTACAACAGAACACAATTTTTATAACCTTGGTTAGGTATTTCTTCATTAAAAAAATAATAATAAATGCTGGGTTTGCCAAAGGGGAGACAGAGGCCTTACTAGCTGGCTTTTCCCTCCAAGACGACGGCAGTTGGATTTATGTCACAACAGTAAGACCTGTGCCTAGGATGGAGAGGACAGCACCAGGCTTAAGTGACCTAAGGGAGCAAACAAATGCATGGACTGATCCCAACCAGAAGTTAAGGGGTTGCAATTTGCTGTAAGAAATGAAAGAAACGAGCCTATGAGATTAGACATCCTTCTAGAACTCTCAGTGAATGTAAAACTTTGAACAAGCCTGATCGGCACCTTCCATTCCTCCCAACTTGGGAAACTCCAGGAAAGTGGTTCCTACACATAGCTGTCACCTTACCCAGGCCATTGGGGAGCTGACCAGGGGAGGGGCATGGGGAAGGACCCCCACTTTATTTCCCCCGTTCGTGGTGGGGCGTCATGGCAAGCAGTCTGTAGAGAAGTCACCTGGATCCCTCTGGGACACACCTGGGGCTCACCTAGCATAGGAGACAGAGACCACAGGTTAGCGGAAACCTTCCATCCTCATCCCCAATTGTTAAAGAAACTGACTTGCTGTCAGTCCATCCCACCTGGTTATCCGTTCAAGGTCCTAATGGAACAGAAACACCAATGAATAAAGCGAGATCAAGGGCAAAGGGACCACAAATTCCGAGCTCCATAAGCCCTGAGAAGGAGACGCCCCTAGCATCAATAAGTTTGAAATCTGAGGCAGCCCAAGACCTTTAAGTGGCCTCTAGACTCCCCATCTGAATCCTGTTACAACCAACACCAAAACCACCACCTTGCCTTTGCAGAGAACTTGAACTCTACAAAGGGATGGAAAGAGCACTGGGTTAAGACTCAGGAAACCAAAATTCTAGTCTTGTTTTGTTGCTACTAAATATCTGGGAGACTGCCAAGTCAATCCCCCCACCACCACCCCGACTCCCACCCCAAGGCCTTAGTTTTTAAGGAAAATATTTGTAAACTGTGGAGCTTCCAGCTTAAATAACCTCTCAAGGTAAGTATATAGGACAAACATCACTAAAATATACATTTTCCTCTTCCAGGACAATCTCCTTCAATATCACATTTGGAAGCTTGATAGATTTTCTGTTTTCCAAGCTCTGAAAGGCCTAAAATTTTAACATAAATGCTAACAATAAACCAAAAATTCAGGGATCTGAGCCTCAGGTAGACAAGCTGACAAGCCAGGTCCTGAAGTCCCTTGAAATGCCACCCTCTTCTCTGGAAAAACAATATCACTTCCAAGGGCCCCTTGTGCTCTGCATCCTTGGGAAACTTCCCAGGTGAAGTTTTAAGATGGTTATCAGGACACATGACAGCCCAATGAAGAGGATTATGTTGGGTGGAACTGGAGGAGGGGGGTCTGGTTTGGAATAGGTGTGGATTAGGAGCGGAGTTAAGAGGGGGTTATGCAGTCTCAAAATATGTGAGAAGGCTGGAGAAACGTGGGCGGTTTTCTGGTTGTGAACGTGGTGCAAGGAGAATGGAGGGGGGAGGGGGGGCTGATGGATCAGAGGAATTTCAGCGCAGTGGAAGCATTTGGGGGCATCCAGGAGAGAATGGTGGCTCTGTGGGCGTATCAGGAGAATTCGGAGGGAGTTCTGAGGGCACCAGGACGTGCGAAGGTGTGTCGGGGGAGGGGGTGTTCTGGGGCGTGAGCGGCAGATTTAGGGTGCAGGGTTGTCGGGGATTTTTAAACACCGGGAAGGAAAGGCGGGGGTGGGGTCGGGGCCGCGCGTCGTCCTTCGATCCCCGCCCCCAATCCCGGGGTTCCACCACCCACCCGCCCAGGATTTCCTCGGGTGGGAGCGGAGACTGCGGCGCGGTGCGGTCTCGGTGGAGCCGCCTCGTCCCCGCCCCGCCGCGCCCCGACTCACATCGCCCCGCGGCCCGGGCGGCGCCGGGCCCCGCTCCCGGGTCCCGCTGCAGCTGCCGCCGCCCGCCCGGAGCTAAGGCCTCCCCGCCCCGCCCCGCAGCCGCGGGGTCGGAGGTCACCGGCAGCACCAACGAGACGCTGCGGGCGGGCGGACCCGCTCGGGGGCTACCGGCGCGCAGCCTAGAAGGTCCCTTTGGAGGACTTTGCAGTTGGGAGCAGGGAGCATGCGCACACGCCAGAGGGCGCTCCTGGCCAGAGGCTGAGCGCTCCTGGTGGGGGCGAAGTGGAGACTGGGGTGGGAGCGGGGGCGGGGCTGAAGGGACCAGAGGTGGGGCCAGAGGTTTCCTCTCCCCAGAGCCCAAGGGGGAAGGGGTACGGGGAGAAACACAAAAGATGGGGGAGGGGTCTGAAAGGACGGAAGGGAGAAGGGCAGTACGAGGGACCATGGAAAGGGGCTAAGGAAAGGAGAAGCGGCAGGGGGACCATTGGGGACAAGGGGGAGGGAGTTCAGTGGGGTGGGGACACAAAGAGGGGCGGGACTAGGAGGCCAGAGGGAGGGTGGGGAGGCGGGGAATCTGCGGGCTTGGAAAGGCGTTCTGTTCAGGGATTGGCAGAGGACCTGGCATAAACGAGGCTCCGTGGTGTTTGCTCCGCGCGCGCGGGGGCGCGATCCAGGCACTGAACCCACGGCAGTGGGGTGTGGCAGTGCCCTGGAACCTGCACACTTTCCACCCCGGGATCCCACAAAGGCTTTCCTCAGTCTGCAGCCCAGGCCCCTCCCGGAGCCGTCCTTCTCCACCAACCCCGGAGGGGCGGGAGCCGGCCGCGGGGGGCGTGGGAGAGGTAGGGCCGCGCTCCCCCGGCGGGCGG